ATATCTTTCAGGTTTTGATCTACAACAAGCCCAGTCCACACAGGATATACCACCACAGTAGTTCACATATCCTGTATACCCTTGAAATGCCATCAGTTTCAAGCCCAGCGCATTACCATAGCTATGTAAATCTTGTCTTTATTGAAAAGGTAATAGAATCGATCCATGTTCCTGACCTAGATGACTTGAGATATAGGGAGAAAGAAAAGGAAAATGTGGTGGAATCTTAGGAAGGTTCAAAGATTAGTATGTTTGAGCAAATGTTACGGGCTATAGAAAGAATTAGATTTTATGGTGCTATCAATGCTGCTAGGTTTTGCTTAGTCCCAGATGTAGTTATTCCACCAAAGTTCAATGTACCAAAATTTGAGAAGTATGATGGTATGAAGTGTCCAAAAACTCATATCACCATGTACTATCGGAAGATGGTAGCCCATGTCTATAATGAAAAACTATTAATACATGTTTTTCAAGATAGCCTTACAGGCTCTGCTGCCAGGTGGTATGTCCAGCTGGACAGAACCCGTATCCATTCTTGGAGCGATATGGTCCATGACTTCATCAATCAATATCGACATATTATGGATTTGGCTCCTGATTGTTTGTCTTTATAGAACCTAAAGAAAAAAACAAATGAGTCTTTTAAAGAATACACCCAGAGATGAAGAGATATAGCTTCTCAGGTGTAACCTCTTCTGACTGATAAAGAGACTACAATGCTATTTGTTAGCACTTTGAAATCTTTCTATTATGAAAAGATGATAAGAAATGTAACCAAAAATTTCGTTGACATGGTGATTTCAAGAGAAATTATTGAGAGTGCCATCAAGAATGACAAGTTGAAAGGAGTCGAAGCATCCAACAAAAGAGCCCCAAAGAAGAAAGAGACTAAAGTTCAAGCTGTGAGCTTTGATAGACAATAATTCAGAGGTTATTAACCCTACTCACTATAAGAATACCTTCCATATTACCCTTCTGTGAATAACACTTCCCCTTACTCATACCAACCAATCCTACAATCCTCTTATTCTCAAACATATTAACCTTCTTTTAGGCCTCAAAACACCATATACAGTCCTAACACTTAACTACCTTAAGACCTTAAACCCGTCTAGCTAGCTCAATAGGTGGTTCACGAGAGCAACGAACTACTCGTGAAAAGTCTGTATTTGACCCAATTCCCATGACTTATATAGAATTATGTCGTGAGCTTTACAACAGTCATCTAATTACTTCTAGCAAATTAAAGCCACTCAAAACGCCTTACCCTAAATGGTATGATCCCATAACCCATTGTGACTATCACTATGAGATTATTGGTCATTCCACTGAAAGTTACACTGCCTTAAAACACAAAGTGCAATGGCTAATCAAGGATGGAATGATTAGCTTTGATACAAGAGGGGTAACTGTACCAAACGTTAGTGACAATCCTTTGCCTAATCATAACGTAATGCCTTGAATTACGAATAGAAGTGTCATGTGAAGAGAAAAATTACAGATATTAAGACTCCTCCAAGTCAGCTGTTTGATGTTTTATGAAAAGCTAACATAATACAACCAGTAATTTTTGTTTCACAAAAATGTGCAAATAAGGCAGCTGTAAACACCTAATTTGGTCCAAGCCCGAATCAATTGGGCTTGGTCCAAATAGGAAAGCCTATTTGTATTTGTATTTGTATTTTTTTAATTTTTTATTACTATTATTATTTATTAATATATATATTTTAATATTTAACTATTAACATATTTTATTATTTATCTATTAATATATATATTTATTATTTATCTATTCATATATTATTATTTATCTATTAATATATATTTTTATCTATTATTATTACTATTTTTACTATTGTTATTATTTGTTTTCTTGACTTTATGTTTTTCTTGATTGATTTTCGACTGGGATTAGGATTAGAAAAAATTAGAATTTTACTGTGAATTTGAGATTCAATCAGAGTCTGGATTGGATTCAAAGATTGAATCCTAATCCAAGATGGAATTGGGATTGATCAGAAACTCTTCTGATCAATCCTAGTTTCTGATCAATCCCTATAAATAGGTCCATAAATCACACAGAAAACACACAAAAGAGAACATAAAGAAAACAGAGGCAAAAAAAAATTCGAAGGCAGTTCTAGAATTTTTAGGAAAATTTTTAGAGATTTTAGCATTTTTTTTTTGGAAAATTTCTAGAAAATTTCCAGATTTCGATGAATTTTTTGACAAAACTTGAATTTTTTGACAAAGTTTCTTATGATCTTTGAAGTTTTCGGCATATTTTTTCAGATTTCGGTAGAACATTCAACTGAAATCTAGAATTGTTTAGAGAGAAAGAGGAGAAAAAAAGGGAACTGAGAGAAAAGGGGAAGGGAAATCTGAAAAAAAATTGAGTTTCAGCTTTATATACCCCCTCCAACACGACGTCATTTTTGCATTAGTAAACCTAGAGGATCGATGCGTTTTGCCAAGATCCGACCCGACCCATAGCGCACCCGAACCAGTGACCCGCTTCTCCACCTGGGTTCCAGTCGAGCCGAGCCGTTTCCTACTAAGATGCACATTTGAGCCGATTTTATCTCTCAAGCCGAGCCGAATCCAAGTCGATTCGAGCCGTTTCAAAGTTTTTTTAAAATTTTTATTTATTTATTTATTTATTTATTTTATTATTATAATTATTATTAATTTATAATTATTTGGTATTCCTTAATTTTAATTTTATTTTTTTTCTCTTTCTTTTCAATAATTTTTTTTCTAAAAAAATAGAAATTACAAAAAAATATTTTTTTAAGGGAAATTGAAAGTATCAATTTCCTTGAAAAATAAAAGGTTTTAAAAATATATATTTTTTAAAAAAAGTTAAAAGTATCAATTTTTCTTAAAAATAAAATTTTCAAAAAAAATATTTTAGGGAAATTTCCCATGAAAGTAAAATTTTCAAACATATTTTTGAGGAAAAGTTGAAAGTATCAATTTTTCTCAGAATTAGAATTTCAAAAATTAAAACAAAAATCATTTTTGGGAAAAGTTGGAGTACTAATTTTTTTAAAAAATAAAAATTATCAAGAAAAATATTTTAAGGAAAAGTTGAAAGTATCAATTTTTCTTATACAAAAGCAATGAATTTTCTTTTTTTAAATAAAAGAAAAAGGATTTGCATCAAAAGTTGAATCATTATTCCTTTTTTTTATCTCATTTCTTCTTTTCTTTTCTTGAAAATTTTAAATGTTAAATAATCCGACAATAGCGTATCTGAAAATGAAACAATAGTTTTCTTGTATACTCTTGAGGTGAGAGGATTTTCTTAATTTTTTGTCAAAAGTATTGAAGTTAATTAAGAATAATTTTCAATAATTAATTACTTGGTAAAATTTTTAAGGTTTATTGGATAACACGAATTTAAGCTGGTACCATCTTTCGATGGGCATTATGAGGATGCTATAAGCTTCCTCACACGTAACTAAACTCCCGAACTTTATTCTGGTTAGTAGACTTGAACCTATTCTTTTAAAGACCCTTAGTTAAGCTTAGGTGTTCCTTGAAAGGATAAATTCGTAGGTGGCCAATCGCACCTAAACAAAAAAGATTGGTGGTGACTCCTTAAGTCAATGTCTAGCGATAAATCCCCAGATCTAAACGTTATGACAATAACAAATCAATATAAACTTAGTGGTAAACTATCAAGAACTCATTGCTAAATTAGTTATAATGTGAATGATAATAACAGAAATTAATGATAATTTAATATAAAATCAATATTAACTTAGAAGTAAATTATCATTAATTTAGTAATAAATTATTGATAATTTAATAGTAAATTATTTATAATTTAATGGTAAATTAATGATAAGTGTTAACTTAATAGTAAATTATAGTTTATGAACTTAGTGGAAACTTCTAAATAGAAAAATCAACCTAGAAAAAAATTAGATATTTATTTTTATTAAATTTCATTTTAAAATTTTTGTTATATTTATTTACTTTAAAAAATAAATTTAAAATTTCAATTTAATTTAGTATTACGATGATTTTTTCAATTTCATTACTAAAAACAAATATTTAATTATTTAATTATATTATAATTATAATATCGTTAAGAATCACTTGCAAAGCACATGTCACGAAAACTAATTCTTCCAAAATATAATCTAATTTATATAATCGGCTCACAAGATTCTATAAATGACAAGAAGAATGCAAGAAAATTTTGAGTTCTAACACTTTTTTCTGATTAAATTTTATTATAAAAAAATGCTCCAAATGAAGCCAAAAGCCGGCTTCTAAAGCATCAGTAAATCTTATATAAAAGAATGAATTAATGTTTAGTACATAAAAACATCTGAATTCATTGCTAAGAGACGAAAATGAATTCCACAGCAAAGCTTTTAATCCTTCTCACAAGTTTTCTGTGCCTGTTTCTCATCATAACTCTATTCAAAATCCTTCACAAATATTGGTGGATACCTTTCCGCATACAGTACGCACTGAGTTTACAGGGAATCAAAGGACCTCCTTGTGAATTCATCCATGGAAACAACAAAGCATCTGTCCAATTCAGAAAAGAAGCATTAAGCAAACCTATGGCTGCCTTGACTCATGATATATTTCCCAGGATGCTGCCTCAGTTTTAGTCCTGGATCAACATATATGGTGAGATAATTCCGAAGTTTTTCACTTGGAATTTGTTTCTAACTTCAAATAAAAAATGAACCCTTTCTTTTGTTCTTTTTTTAGAGAAGAATCATCTTACCTGGGAGAGAAATCAAGCTCAACTGGTAATTTCAGAACCAGAACTAGTCAAAGAGGTTCTTAAAAAAATTGAAGTATCTTTTCCGAAAAGGAAGGCTGAAAACTTTATCTATGAGATACTCGGGGACGGGCTTGTGTCAACCGAGGGTGAAAAATGGGCCAGGCAAAGGAAGTTGGCAAATCATGCTTTTCATGTGGAGAGCTTAAAAGTAAAACTTCGAAAGTCTATTTTGTACTGACATTAAGAGTTATGAATTAGTTTCTTACAAAATGGATGGTTGTGTTTGGCAGAACATAAATCCAGCAATAATTGCAGCCGTTGAGACAATGCTAGAGAAGTGGAAAGGCCAGGAAGGGAAAGAGATCGAAGTGTTTGAACAATTCGGGTTACTGACTTCAAAAGTTATATCTAGAACAGCTTTTGGTACCTGTTACTTGTAAGGGGAGAAGATTTTTCAAATGTTGATTAAATTATCAATACTTGCTAGCAGAAATTTTCATAAATCTCGGATTCCGGGCATCAGGTAAGTTAATTTGTAACCTTCTAATCTCACATAGACATTATAAAGATATGCTATGATATATGCATAGATTTAAATCCATAATGCTTTGTGAGATAGAATCACAGAATCTTCGAGTCAAATTGAATAATATCTCCCTTAGGTACCGTCTTTACATTATTAGTCTAGAGTCAAGAGTTTGTCCCTGATTTCCAATAGAGAGGAAATACTAGAAGTCACTTGAGTGCAAAATCTGAAATATGATCCAAAAGGATTTATTTCCTCCTTTTCTCCATGTATATGGCTTATACCTTTGTTTGCTTTTGCAGCAAGATTTGGAAAACTACTGATGAAATAGAATCAGAAAAGCTTGCTAAAGGAATACATGAATGTGTGATGGAAAATGGTTAAGAAAAGGGAAGAGAAAATACTGGCTGGCGCAGCTGACAGTTTCGGCAGTGATTTTCTAGGATCATTTGTAAATGCTTTCCATGATTCGGATGAGAAAAACAGGCTCTCCATAGAAGACTTGGTAGATGAGTGCAAAACATTCTACTTTGCTGGACAAGAAACCACTAATTCCTTGCTTGCATGGACAGTCCTTCTTTTAGCAATCCGTACAGATTGTCAAGAGAAAGCAAGACGAGAGGTGATCGAGGTATTTGGTGACAAAAATCCTCATTCTGAAGGCATTTCCAAACTAAAAACTGTAAGCAAAACTGCAATCTCTGACCATTTCAATAGTGCAGATGAACATGATCATCAACGAAACCCTGAGGTTGTATCCTCCTGTATCTGCCATGTCTAGAAACGTTTCAAGAGACGTTCAATTGGGAAAGCTCATTATTCCTGTTAATATGGAGGTTATGGTCCCAATCACAGCACTTCACCATGACCCTCAACTATGGGGTGATGATGGGCATCTTTTCAAAGCAGAGAGATTCGCAGAAGGTATTGCGAAAGCTACCAAATACAATGCGGCTGCATTCATTCCCTTCTCATTGGGACCTCGATCTTGCGTGGGTATGGGCTTTGCAATCACAGAAACAAAGACTGCTCTCTCAATGATCCTACAACGCTACATCATTACTCTCTCCCCAGCCCATATTCATGCGCCATTTCCTCAACCTATGGTTCAGCCAAAACATGGACTTCAAGTAATGCTTCATTCTCTACAGAGTGATGCCTAAAGTTTTTAATGCAATAACTGCTTCTATTAGTGTCTAAGATGGTAAAATATTCATAGTAAGTGAGAAACAGTTTTAAATAATGGTGTGATCAATGTACAACACACAGTTCTTACCAGCCATTTTTGGCTCCTGATTGTGTATCAATTCAAGTTTTTAAATTGGGTGATCCTTGACTTGCTGTCAAAGCCTTTCAGCTTTAAATAATTCGTTTCTCTTTTCCATAGTTGTTGGCTACTTACTGGCGCAGGGAACCGGGTAACTGGTGGATTTGTCGACTACTGTATCCAGAATGCCAGTTGCAGTAAGAAGGAAAAGCAAAAAACTTGGAGGTTATTTGATCACCACGAAGCTGCAAAAGGATTTCTGGCTCTTGGCTTAAACAAAACGGCATTATTTTTTTAATTAGCCTTCAACTCTTTTCAACAAAGGGGATTCTAATCTTACTCCAGAATATATGTGATTTTCCTAGTGTTATGGTTTGTAAATAATACTTTTAAAGTAAAAGGAAAAAGTGGGTTTGGTGTGTGAATGAAAAAGTTTGCGTTGTGTCATTATTCATGGCCCTGGATTATGTCTAAGGAAAGACAATTGGGTCCCTTGACCCCTTTAGGATCTCGTCCGGATGCTACAGTGGCCTAAAAGAAGCACATGGTTTTACAACTTTTGTTTTTTTGGAACTCATACCTGAATCTGCAAAACTCCATAACTGTATCTTGCATGGTTGTACTTGCAATAATTTGGCCTTTTGACAAGGTTTCAGCTTGAATCTTGCACCTTTTTTTTTATCAGTTGTTTTACAATATAAGTGCTTTCAATCTGATTAACTGGTAATTTTTGTGTATATTGCCATGTCTGTAGACCAACTCATTCAAAAAGCCATTTCAAAGTGGGGATATAATTGATCACCAAATCAACCTTGTATACTAGAATGTTCATGATATAAATGATAAAGATTTCTAGAAATCTGAATTCAAATTTTAGCATATTCAAATATTAAAAAGAAAATCTCATTTAAAAAAAATTATTGATCAAGATCCTCTATGATACTACATCAAATTTGCAAAATTAAAGTTCACATATTCTTTGATCTTTTCTACATTTCAAAAGAATAAGCCATTTTGTTTTCAAGCATTTAAAGTTTTTCTAATATTTTATAGTATTAATTTTTTTTTTCTTTACATTGTGATGTTATAAACTATTAAACACAATATTGAAATATTTCTTAAAATTAAAGTACAAATAGCCTATTTCATGTTAAATTAAATATGAATATTTGTTTTGAAATGAAAGAACTGAAATAGTATAAAAAAAAAGGGAGATATATAAGCATCTGCATGAGAACTAAGTAAGAACATCTAATTCTTTTTCTTTTTCTTTTTCTTCTTCTCTGCCTTCTTAATAGTAAGAATGTAGAAAGAATTGAATTCACTAATTTTTTTGGCCAATCAATTCACTAATTCAAGCTATATTTACATTTTTTATATACACGACTAGCAGTAGGGGTGCATAGAAACAAGAGGCAAATTGTATATATTTCTTATGATTCTATCAGCTATAACATTGTCATTATTTAAAATTTTCAAGTAGAAGATTAATTACCATAAAAGAACATTTGCTTTAAATTTTGTAAGTAGGATAAATATTAATGTTCTATGAAAATGAATGAATGAATCAATGTGGTTTAGTCATCAATTACTTACACGTAAGGATTTAAATGAAATATATATCTTATCATGAAGTAATGGTTCATAATTTTTTTTTCAATATATTACTTAGGTAAGTTATGTTAAAAAATTTTATTTCCAAATTTAATTAAACTTGTCCCTTGTTTGCAACCCCTTACCCTCTTTCAAGCCACAACAAGAAAAAAAAATTCTAAGAATTCGAAAAAAAAAAATTCAAAAGAGACTTTAATCAATTTTCTATTCTTTGCCTAAGCTTTGGATTAAAAGAAAATGTTTGAACAACAATACAAATCATTTTCTATCAATTCATCCAAATTTTTATTTCATTGTCTTAGTATAAATTAAGTACAAAGCATTAAAATTTTCTTCAGTTATACATATTTTGCAATGTATGTTATAACAAATTTGATTTTTTCTAATTGTTAGTAAATAAGAAAAAAAGTAGGTTAAAATAAATAAATATGACAATATATAATTAAATAAGTAAATTAATTACTAAGAAATAGATGCCTACCTTTCAATATATTAAAATAAATATTTTTATCGTTTACTTAATTGTGATTAAGATGGGTACCTTTTATGTGAATTTTTTTAATCAAGTTATTTGATTAAAATGTATTTTAATTTAAACATTTTAAATATCTTGTTCTCTTACCACAATAATTCTATAATTCCAAATTGTTAAATATGTTCCTTTGCACCAGAATCTCTTATTAACTTCAGTTGTTTAGGGTAGGCCTAACAATCTCAAATACAATATGATGATAAAATATGAAAATAACACGAATAAAAGATACGAAGTTGACATGATTTAAAATTTTAGCAAAAACCATAATAGGTTTAACAAAACAAAAAAATATATATTTCATGTTTTTGTATCAATGTGAACTATAATATATAATTTTTGTATAAAACGTGATATAAATATATGAATTATCAGTATTTTAAATAATATGAATATACGAATTGTCAGATCTAGTTTAGTTGAATTTTTTATAATTGTTTTTAATCATAATTGCAATTAATATCAATTTTTTGCTAAATTAATATCAGTTTTTTTACAAAACTACTTTTTATTTAGTAATTTAACAAAATTTCAAATTTTTAATACGATTTCTAAAAATTGCAATCACAATAGTATATTTTACAACCCTAAAAATAATATTGGTTTTTCATTCTTCAAGTCACCATGGTATTACAGTTTTCGGTGACTGCTATTTCTATTTGTTTCAAGTCACTTTAATTTGCTATTGTTTGAACTTTTTTTCCTTAATAACTGGTTGTTGCATTTGGCTTTTTTTTTTGTCATTTTATGGAATTGGTTTTCATGCCATTGATTACAGCTTGGGTTTTGTGAAATTAGAATTGCCTTTGCCTTTTCCTGCTTTTATTCATTGGCTATAGGTTGACTAAATATTTTATTGATTCTGGATTACTCACCTGTGTAATTGACTTGTTTATTTCAGTTGTTGCAAATTGATTAGTTTATTGGCTTGTTATAGGTTGATCAGTGTATTGGCTTTGAATTGTTTTTTTTCATGGCTTTCTCGGAATCATCATAGCCTATTACAATAAAATTAGATGGAACAAACTACACTTATGGGTCTTATTTGATGCGAAACTTTTTTAAAGGAAAAAGACTTTGAAAATATGTTACAGGTGATAAAAAATGTCCGAGAGCTCTTGACAAATTAGAAAATTTTGTATCTGAATATGAACAATAGGAGATTAACAATAGCAAAATTGTTACTTGGATTGCTAATATTGTTGCTCCTTTAATTAGTATGCAACACGAGGAATTTGAAATTACTAAGAAAGTTTGGGATTTTCTTGAAAAACATGATATTCAAACTAATTTTGCGATGGATCTTATTAATTTGAAACAGAGAAAAGGACAATCAATTTCTAATTTTTATTCTAAAATGTCGATTATTTAGGATCAATTAAATTTTATAGAACCTAAATGGACTATTGATGCATAATTATATTACTATATAAAGAAGGAAGTTATCTTGCATAATTCATAATGGCACCTTAAGATAATTTAAAGTCCATTCATGCTTCTATTCTACATTGTGTCCCTTCTTCTTTTGTTGATGTTGTTTTGTCAGAAATGGTGGCCAAAAAAACTAGGAAAGGGATCCTCAATAAATCCAAAGGAAGGGATGATACTGTTTTAGTAGTTGCTGTACGTCCAAAAAATTTTACCTTTAATTTAGTTGGCTGATTTCAACAAAAGGATTTTTCTAAAATTGAATGTTACTATTGTCATAAATTAGAACATACAAAGCATAATTACCCATAATTGAAAAAACATTTTGGCTTGTATAAAATGGGGCGAGTTGCTATTGTGATGTCATCTATAGAAACTTTTAATGTTAACTTTCACTCCACTGTAGGTCAAACTCAAAAGAATAGTCAATAGGTTTTTTCTAGTATGAGTAACAACTCTATGGATAATAATTCTTTTACATCTGCATTGTCAAGTACTACAAGTACTAATTCTAATGATTGGATCATTGATTCTAGAGATTTTAATCATATGATTTTTGATAATTCTATCTTTGACTCTTTAAGTCATATTACCTGTTCACCTTCTATTTATATTGTTAATGATTCAAATATTTTTAATACTCACGTTAGCTCTGTTTCATGTTATCAAAATGTTTCTTTTGATATTGTTCTTTTGGTTCCATCACTTTCCATGATTTGCTATCTGTTGGTCAATTATGTGATCAAGGTCTTGATGTCATTTTTCACTCTTATGGTTGTGTGGTGCAAGATTCCTTGATAGGGAAATTGTTGGGACAGGGCATAAAATTGGAAGATTATTTGTTTTAGAAAACTTACATGTGTCATATCATCCTTTTAGTCAATTTGATCATTATTTTGTGTGAAAATCCTTATTAGTTTTTGGTGTTCAAAAGTTTTAATATTTTTCACTTTGGCATTGTAAATTAGGACATGTTTTTTGCTTTAAACTTCAATATTTGGTATCTAGTGGTAAGTTTGGTTAAGTTAAGTAAAAAAACATCCAATAATTGTATCAGTTGTAAATAGCAAAATAGTCTGCTTTACCTTTCAATAAAAGTGAATCAATTTTTTTTTTATTTTCTTTTGATCTCGTTCATTCTAATGTACAGGGCCTATCTCATTTACCTACTATGGGGGGTTCTTGATATTATGTTATTTTTATTGATGATTATTTGAGGTACACTTTGATTTATTTGTTTCAGCATTATTCATATTTACTTGAAATTTATCAAGATTTTTCTACCATGATCAAAATACAGCTTTCTAAAATAATTAAATGTTTTCATGCTGATTTTACTAGAGAATATCAATCAAGTAATTTAAAAAAGTTTATTGTTTCTCAAGGTAGTCTTCTTAAGTCATCTTGTACTGATAAACTGTAACAGAATGGTGTTGTTGAAAGAAAACATCATCATATCATGGAAACCACTAGAGCCTTGCTGTTATCTTCATTGATTCCTAAGAAATATTAAAAGGAAATTGCACTTACTTTAGTTTGTGTTAGAAAACGTATTCCTTCTTCTATCACTGGTGAATTTTCTACTTTTAAACGTTTATATAACAATACTCCTAATTATTTTGAGCTTCATATTTTTGGTTCTACATATTTTGTTTCATTTCCTAAAGTTTAGTGTGATAAATTATCTTAAAAAACTACAATTTGTGTGTTTTTAGGGTATGGTATTGGACAAAAAGGATATTGTTGCTATGATCCTATTGCATGAAAGCTTAGTGTTTCTCAACATGTTACTTTTTGGGAAAATATTTTGATGTATTCATTGCCTCATTTTCAGATCTATTAATGATCTTCATGAGCCTTTTATCCTTTTTGATAGTTCTCCAACTCCTCAGCAAATTCATCCAAATGAAGCTTGTCCCATCACAAGCTCTACCATAAGCAATCTTGCATTACTACTATCAAATTCGTTAGAACCGTCTATCCCATAACTTAGACATTCAACATATGAGCAAATTCTTTCATAAAGTTATCATTATTTTCATTGTTTTTTATCTACAATTCTTTCTA